GTGATGCAGTGGTGCTCCAAACTGTGTTTTCTTTATTCTTCCTGTTCTTCCTTTTAACTGTGTGCCCCTCCCCCCACCCCTAAGAGGTCCCTTTCACTGATCCACAGGAGAACATTACATGACCATTATGTGCTATGCTCCAGACAGCACATGCCAGCCAGTCAACCAACCAGCTGGGTAGCCACTAACAAATTAAGTCTTATTTTATAGAGTGTTTTCAAGTTAGCTTTATACAAGCAAGAGAGAAGTCAGCAGATGGTCATCCATGTGCATGCCACACTTTTATAAGCAGCCTTCCCTTTAAAGGAAGGAATAAGCATAGATCTATGAAAGCAGCCTTGCATTAGGACAGAAGAATCCATCTCAGTAGATATTTTTTTGGTCAGCCTCAGAAACGAATATGTCGCTAATTGTGTGATGACAGAGAAGACTGGAGACCTTGGAAGCCTGGGGCCTGAGTTTCTTTGTGACTTTGGACAAGAAGGATAGCCATCCACCATCCACCGCATCACCTGTGCAGCTGGGTAAGGCACCTGCCTCGGTGACACCAGGGCTGAGATATGAGGGTAGAGCAGTTCATTAAACAAAATGGGGGTGAAGGGGTTCCTGGGTAGAGGCAATTTCAGTAATAAATTATGACTGGATTCAAGTGTGTATGTGGGGGACGGCGGACAATGAGGCTGGGGGAGAGAGGAGGCGGGAAGGCCCAGGCTCAGAATGGCCTCTCATGAACAGCTGAGGAATCCGAACTCCATTCTGAAGAATGTGAAGCAGCAGGGGTGACGAGATTAAATTTCTTTTCAAATTTTATGGTATAACTGACATTACATGCTTATTTCTAATGAGCCTTTTAAATTATATATTTACTGTGGTAATACTTATTTTGTTACATTTGCTTAGTATTTTAAATATTTGTAAAAATTGCTTTTGCTTATGTCTATGTTTCATTGGCTTTAACGCACTTTTTATTCAACAACTTCTGTATTCTTGAGGGCTTTATCTGTAACTACTTCTCACGAATAGTTTCACGGTGATTACGGCTTTCATGGTTATTGCAGGAGATGCTGCTGGCGCCTTGCTCACATTCCCTAGAACCATCCAGAGGGTTGATGACCAGAAGCCTGTCCCCTTCCAGGCCAAAGGCTTCCTGCATCTCTGCCCGAGTTGTTCCCTCGCCCCAGGAAGTATGGCTCATTGCCCGAGAAAGCTGGAACTGCCAGAGAGTTAAGGTCCTTGGAGTGATCTCTGTGGATGAGCGCCAGGAGTTGGTAGATAAATCCTCCAGCAGCTTCCTCACCCTTCAGGGGAATGACTCTGAGATGTGTTCCACAGGGTCTGTCTGAAGACCTACAATGGAACAAAGCCCGAGTTCCCCACAGCGGCCACCTGCTCATCCGTGCATACTTCCCTATCTCACATCCCTTCTCTGTCCAAACTCACCACTTCCACACATTGCCTCCTGACATCACTCCCTAAATAAACTACTTGCACCTACATCATTGTGTCAGGGTCTGCTTTTGGGGGGAATCCAAACTAGGAGAGTTAACAGACTCAATAGATTCTCATATACACGAAGATATCTTTATTTTGCCTTCACAATGGAGGGTGAGTTGGCTGGGTATAGAATCCTTAATTCACAATGGAACATATTTTAACTTTTTGATATTAATGTTACAGAAAATAAGTCTGCAGAAAACCAGTTTCTTTGTTTTCTATTAGGTATTAGTAGTACCATTTTCATATCTTTAAAATTAAACCTTTTGTGAAGCTATGTGCAGACATTAAACTGTTCTCGATATTTTTGCCTGGTATTTGCACACCTATTCAAGAAAACGGAGATCATTCTCTGCTCAGGCCTTCTATTCCAACCGTTCTGGAACCATTTCTCTTTGCTGATTCTCCAGTCGCCATCTTCCACATCTGCAGTCTTCACTGTCGTCTTTCCTCATTGCTACGTTCTTTTTCTCTGAATTCTTAGAAATTTTCCTAAATATGCCCTGTACAACAAGGAATTGACTTTCCACACTGCCAATTCTGCTTTCCTGATTATAACACCTATTTTAATTCTGCCACTGCTTTCTTGGTTTCATTACGATATTTCCTCATCTCATCCACGACCATTATTTTTGCTTCCCTCACAGCCCACGCCATTTTCATCCCAGCCCATTGTTCTACTATCTGATCTTCTGATGTGCTCACTTTTCCTTGACTTCCATCAAAGACACAAATGAATGCCCTGTAAAATTCGCTTTTGTTTTCTGTTAACAACCTTTTTAATAGGTATGCTTTCCCTCTGTATCTTCAGTTTTACTTTTCTTAGTTTATGTGTTAGAATCTTTTTGTCGGGCCCATCTGTACAGGGTGGGTAGGCTTTCTTGGTTCCCCTTCAGTGTCCACCTGGTGCTGTTAGAATCTTGCTCGGGACTGAGTGATGCCATTTACATCCCCAGTTGCAGTTGTAGAGGGGAATTTTTGTTTCTTTACCTTTTCCTGTCATGTTGAAAGTCATTGTGCCTATCTGCTTTTCCAGTTTGTCCCGCCTCCACAGCAGCTATGTGATGTCTCTGTGCCTAGCCACCTTGCTCATACTAATGCTCACCACATCATGAAAGCCCCTGATACCTAGTCAACTTTCTACCAGAGTGTAACCTAGGATTCCCTATGCCAAAGGTTTTAAAGATTGTTGAAATTCAATGTCAAAGAGATAAAAATGATATGATTTCATTTTCCCCATGATTGGCTACAGTGGCTAATGACCTACCTGTGTCCTACAGATGCATTGTCCTTGACTGACTAGAGCCCCCTCATCCAGATGCCTGGGAGGCTACTCACCACCCTCTGCCCTCATACACGCACAGTGGTCAAGGATGATAGAGAGGTGGCAGTGATGCTCGCCATCACTTCGAAAGGGGACAATTCTGCCGAGTGATTTGTGCTCTTTCTACTCTATAAATCAGACCAAGGCTAGCTTTTAGGAC